GGCATTGTATGGGTAGATGATATGTTATTATGATAAATTATGGCATGAGTGTAGTATTGGCAGCATCAGTATTTCTAGAACACAGAGCAACCACATGCACTGTTAATCCAATCTGATTATAGAGGACATAAAAAAACAACAAACAGCACGTAGCAACTGCTTAATTGCGTAATAAAAAGTGTGGGTGGTCGATATGGCAGAAATATAACGTCATGATACTAGATATTTTCATGATATATGGTATCATTGCTGAAAGCTTATATCTCCAAAATGGTAAGTTTATGGAAGAAGGAAAAACCTTTAATGAAACACAATTAATGTGACACAATTTTATTTAAGTAATTTTACACAATGTAAAGGGCAGTTGGCAATTTAAATGTTTAAATGTAAAAAAAAATAAAAAAATAAAAAAAATTAAATAAATTGAAATAAAAGATTGTCCTGATAGTGGCACTATGTAACACAAAATTTTGGCGTTCTGTAGTTTGATAGGGTGGGTCATGCGAAATGCAAAAAACCGTTTCACATTTCACCTACTGCACTGCACTACATCCAGTTAAACAGGACTAATTATGCCTAATTATGCTGTCTTTGTGTTGAAACATGCAGTTGGTCAGTATTTTAAGTACTTAAAATACTTCATTTTTTATCATTTGTTTGATAATCCTCTGTCTTCTTAAACATTTTTGCAAATAAGTGCATAAAAAAAAAGTTGCTCACTATTGCATTCAGCTGAAAGTTTCCTTGTTGAATTGACATTGCATTGCATCGTATTGTAAATAGTAGTAATAAGTCTGGAATAATGCAGTTGCTGCTGTTCTTTAACTTCAGAGTGGCAAGTTATATGAGCTTAATTGTTGCTCAGTTGCTATCTCATTAAAAGAGGAAGTATAAAGTGAGTCTCACTTGCTATTAAAAGTGATGTGAGGTGGCATAAACATCAAAAAACCCTGCAAAAGTTATATTAGTTATTAGAGTATTTCTGTATCTCTGACGAAATATAATAGAACATCTCAACATGCATAAGTTAGTCATGAAAGTAACCCAGATTATATCAAACAGCATATATTATTTCACTGCTCACTGTAGCTTCATCCTTTGAGGTTATGGCAGACATACCAGAGATTGGGGGTGGTGGGGGGGGGGTAGACAGAGCAAGGGTTACTATGGTAACGGGGCTCAGGAATTAAGTTTTCTGTTTGATAGTTGGGCAGCTCAGTCAAGTAACTGGCCTCAAAATAAGTGTTACATTACGAGGAAGGAAAAACAACAAATGAAAAAAACAGGAGAAGAGGAAAGAGTTCCTAATTCTCTGTTAACAGAACGGTAAATGGTGAGTAGCAGTAACGTTTTTCCTTTATGCTTGTTCTGGCTGTAACTTTTCACTGCAGCTGAGATTGTGATCTGAATAAGATAACACATAGATAGGCAGCCAAAGGCTTCAAGTCAAAGAGTTTTGCGTCATATTGCAGTGGATCTGTGTGGGGGATGTCCTGCCTGGGCATTCCTGTACTTCTGTGGTTGTGGTAGTTCACAAACAACCTGAAAGGTATGTTCACTGAAGGGACTTGAGAATACCTGAGGATTACATAATGGGATTACACAAGGGGGGAAAAAGAGTAGGAAGCAGGCCGCACAAGTTAGCCCTCATCCTCGCAGGCTGATAGCTGTTGCGTGATAGGGAAGAGAGAGAGACAGAAGGTGGAATGGCAACAACTAACACTGGAAAAAAACCTGTTGAATTTACATGATTCAAATATGTACAGTGTTTCCACACAAATGAATTGTTACATTAAGTTAAATTAAGTACTTACACATAGTAGTTATTTTGATTATTGATGTTAATTCATGTTGAGCCAGCATACACATATGATATAAAGTCATGTAAATTTATAACAACTTCTAAGAAACTTTTTTTTCAGTGTTGTCTGCATGGCTCTGACCTGCACTGAAAAAGGTAGTGCACTGAATTTAGTTAAGTCATATTAGAGATTGTGTGATACCACATCCTTTTCTGACACTAATACTGATATTAAAACCTTCAGCATCTGCCAATACCGATATTTTTTTCTTTAATATTTTTCCTGGAGAACTACAGAACTTTAAAATGAGCTATTGTAATTAAAGCACTTCATTTACTAACAATCAAAAAGTAGGCTGGCACGTAGGGGTGGGCGATATGACAAAAATGTGCTCAGGGAAGCATATTGTGACCTAATTTATGATGATACTGATGAATGTTGTCATATATTGTGAAGCCCTGTTCATAATATTCAGCCTTTCTGAGGTTTGATAGGTTGAATTTGACAAAAATAAACCAGTAATGCAAAGTAAAAAAAAATCCTATCAAAAACTATGAATGCTGGGATTTTTATTAAACGTTACATGTGCTACTACAATAAATCCAACTGAACAGGTCTAATTACAGGCTCTCTTTTTAATGAAACATGCAATTCAGTTGGTTTTCTTTAAGTACTGGTGGTATCTGTGATATGCTCAGAAAAGCAAAATGTCTCATAATATGACATAATTGATCATATAAATATTGTCTTATTGCCCACCCATATTGTCCACTGTCAGGCTCAAACTACTTAACCCCTTATCATCCCAGGCTTATTACATACTAAGTCTTATTATCCGGTAAATACAGGGGCTTCGATGCAAAATAGCTGAGCTATTCTTAGGTTATAGAAGTGTGCAATACGACTTTGGGACTGCCGGCAGGCCCTCGCCATGTAAGGGATTAAACACTTTCCCACAGGAAGTAGTAATTCAGGTGCGATTTGTTAAAAGTTTAGATCAGATTAATTCTTTTTTTCTGTCCAACATCCAGTCCAGCATTTTCTCCTGATATTGGCCTGATACCTGGCATTCGATCAGCTGTACCTCTAAATCAAATTTGTGCTTAACTTTCACATGACTAAGATATATTACATCAACACACATTTGTTGGTCAGTTTATTTTACTTAAGAATTGTGTTGCTGTAATATGTTTTATTCATGTGGAAATGAGAAGATGAAGTTGTTTCCAGCATTACTTTTTTTGGACTTAATGTCATTGCTTAGTTTCATAATACAAGTATACTTTTGTCATTTAAAGAGATTTATTTTTTGATCATGTTCATTCATCACATTAAGGCATTTCAGACTGGAAAAGATGACCTCTGTGTAAACATGCCTGTTTGATTGTAGTTGAATAGTTTGGTCTGCCCGGCCCATGACCTTGTTTTGTGCCTGATGTGCCTGATGTCTTTGTTTTTACAGTCTTCCTGTCTTTGACAAACACAGTCCCACTGGGGAGTTTTTGTGACTGAGCATTTCTATTTTTGCCTCTATGATTGAATAATCTTATAAACAAATATTTATCGTTAGTGTGGAAGTGAAGTGGTGTGTGTGTGGTTTTGGGGTGTGTCCTCAAGTTGACAGTTAGGCCAAGTTAAAGACCTATTTTTGGTTTTTATTACTTATTTGAGTGACATATCTGAGGTGGTATGGTGGGATGTATCTACTGTATTAGGTTTTGTGTACAGTCTGTCACAGTACATTTGCAGTACAGTAATAATACAGCAATAAGCGGAAATTTGTAGATTTTCAAAGAAGCGGCTTGAGTTAAAATGGTTTTGCTAACTTTGTGCCTGTAGACGAACCCTTGGTGGTACAAGGTAGAGCTTCTTATTGGCAGATTTTTGTTTGAAATTTCCATTCTGTTCCATCATACAGGCGTCTGAATGTAACTGCTGCCTTATTTAAGGTGGAACAGGAATTTTGAAGAAGAAGGCAACTTGAATTTTGTCTAATTTCTCAAGCCATTTGTCTCATACGTGTGTCCCGTACACTCGTGCCTCCGACCATCAGGTACTGCTGGATTTTGGAAAATATTGCGGTCATTCACACTGTCAGTACCAGCTGGTCCACAGCTTGTTTTAGTTCTCAGGTGGTACGAGAAGAAGTGTAGCAATCGGCCTGGTGTCTGTGTTAGTCTAAGACTAGCCCTAAAAAAAAATGGCTGTTCCTTTATGTCGGCTACCTCGAAAAAGTGAACTACTTCTAATGCAGTTGACTAGACAGTGGGAAATGATTAAGGGTCTGCTACTTTTCCCCATTTAAAACATGACTAAAACATCCCTGGCACAGCCATTCAGCTAAATGTGCTAACATTAGTTTGGTTTGCACTGTTTGTACATAGTGGTATAACAGTTACACCAAAACTTATACCCGAGGAAGCATTTTAACCTGTAAGCCACATGAACTCATGATTTGTAGAACCCTTTCATTTCATCATAACAAACAACTTCTGTGTCATGCTTTTCTCCACAGTTTGAGAATTTGCCCTGTACTGAATAGAGTAGTTACATGTGATAGGATCTGAACCTACAGTCTGTATTGAATTGCCACTGTGAGAAATTCTGAAGAATCTTCTAGGAGGAACTATGTTTCAACACTTGTGTTCAGCAGCTAACTCCACAAGAGCTCACTGAAAACCCTTTTTCAGGTCTGTATTGTAAATTAGATTTATAACTGGAATAAGTGATCACAACAACAATGCTTATGAACGTCAAGTGAAAAGCTTTGCTTAGACACTGAGCTGTAAGTATGGTACTGGCAGGTATTGCGTGCAAAACTGTGCCTGACCTTGTGTGGCACAGTATTGTGCAACCAGCTGTTGCAGGTGTCGTTTTTTTCTCAGCATTCATCACCTACAGTAATGTCACCATGACCAAGGGAAAACTGACACCCACGACAAGAGGCATTTCTGCTGCTAACCGTTCTCCAAAGCTCAGAGTACAAACTGGCATTTAGAAAAGGCTCATGGCCTTTTCATTTGTCAAGTTTGTCTAATGTTGTAGACTCTGTGGATTTTTGGGTTAATTATTCCCATAGCCTACTTCTTTTTACATTGTTTTTTTTTTCATAGTTTTCTGTATTTACAATCTTAACACCCAGTGTGTGATTTCTGTCTATTTCTTTTCCCTCTACTTCTCAATATCTCCCTGTTTAAGATGGTTATGCGGTGTTGACAGGCTACAGGAAGACCTTTCTGTCAGGTATGGACAGAAACTGCCTCCATGTGCCGTTTGTCTGTCCATCCACTGCGTTGTTATCTGCATTCTGGATTTTTGTCCGCTTAAAGATCAGGCCTGTGCTTCACTCAGCTTTGTTCTATTTGTGCTTTACTTACTCAGCCCCCTTCTTTCTCTTATATATGTCAGAACAAAACCTTTTATGTCCATTTTTTGTCATCAAGTAGACCAATATAAGTGGTCCAAAATAACTTCTTATTTATTAATGTAATCTCTGTAAGTCTTTTTTACATTTACTTCCGTAAGTTAAGAAGATTTTTTTTTCCTCCAAAAGTTAATTTTGGAGATATAAGGTTTTATTTCGACAGCAACAGTGTGCGTGTGTGCGTGCATGTGTTCTCCATCTTTTGCTTTAGCCCCATTCTTTAATTTATTCCAGATAATTCTATAAAACTCCACCCCCATACTGTGTTATTTATATAATTTAGCGTTTTCAGTTTCTGATGTTTAAATAAGTTTTTGAAATGTGTCAGTTAATATCATATTAATCATATCTTACATTTCACAGTTGACAAATGACAATCATATCAGTAAAGTACAAACTAAAACTGTAGTTTTTGACCATATAAAAAATGTATTAGGCAATATTATTGTTATTGGACTGTGTAGCTCCTTAAAATTGATATTGATTTTGGTACCAATTTTTTATAGAATTCCTTATCATTCAGATTCTATTGTTTGATTGTCGTCTATTTAATTTTCTTCCGTTTCCTCGTAACTTCCCCCATTCTTCTTGTGTGCGTGTGTGTGCATGTGTGTGCCATGCTGTCCTGGCCTGTAACTAGGCCTGCCCCTATGCTACAATATTGCCTCAAGGAGTCGGTCAGATTTTGTTGTTAGAATGACAGCTGGGGCAGACACACTGTGAGCTTTATTCTGCAGCTTTTCACAGTGCGTTTAACAGTTTGAAGTTTTTACCGTAGCATACGAACTAGCTCTCTGTCAAGGTCTGGCGTAGGCCATCTGTACTCCACTCCCACACCACTTTACTGACTGGCAATGAGGGCCCATTGAGCTGCGTGGTCTGTGACACTTCCCTCACAGTGTACATGGTGTGTATATTCTGTGTCTATGAAAAAGTGAGTGGATCCTCATGTAGGCTTGCAGTGTCTATATTGAGTGTATGTTGTGGTCTGCATGCTTACTGTGCTGTGTGTATTTGACAGTGAATTTCCTCATTTGAATTTTCATCTCTGCGTGTGTGTATGACAGTCCACCCTTCCTCACAGGAAGTCCTGTTTTTCTAGGCAGTGTTCTCACAGTTCTGACCTGTCAGTACTAGTTATTGGTAATCCAGGGGATACCAGAGAATAGTGGGTGTATTTATGTCCATACATATAGAAAACAGAGTACACTGGTAAAAACAAGAAAAAGAAGAGATTGTGTGTTTTTTGTGACTGCAATTATATTTTCTCTAAATTGTTTAACTTTTCTGACCAGTATTTTTATTGTGATTATTTTATGTAAAATAAGGCCTGTTTTATGCCCAAGAAGATAAGTACATCCAAATTTCCTCACTAAACAAAGTTGTTTATAGTATAGGCTGTGATTAAAATTACGGCACCTTTGATTTGGAAAGTGCACTCTTTCAAATTGTGTTTTTAAGTAATATATATATATAATATATATATATATATATATATATATATATATATATATAATATATTTTATTTATAGAATATTTTAGCCCTAGTGTTTTGTGCTGTAGATTTCATTGATATATGATTGCCGAAGGTAAGTCCTTACTTTTTCCTGAAATTTAAACAGGACTTTTTTTTTCCATCTATTATAAATACTCACAGTGTTTCATTTACAAGTCTAGGTAGGTATGTCAGTCACTTTTTTTATATTATTTAGAGGTTTAATGTGTGTCTTTGTGTCTTCTTTGAATGTGTGTGATTTTATTTTTCCCCTGTGAAACCTGATCATTTTTTAAACAGTTAAAATGTACTTTCATGGGTGTACATATTCCTTGGTGCACTAAAATATGTGTGGTAAACACTGAAAGACAGTATTTGAAACAAAATATATGCTCTGTAACACTTCAGCCACAGGGTAATATGTTAGGCTCAAACTAATACACTAGCCAGGAGGTAATATGCTAGTCACAGTACAGAGATACAGTACAATACAATTCAACACAATACAGTATACTGTGATACTGGATGCAATTAGAGGTAGTATTGTTCCATCTTAAAAAAATGTACTCAGTGTTCTTGAAGTTCAGAGAGCAAAGAAAAGATACAGACCACATTTAACCCAGAATCACACTCACAACTAAATGTTCCTGTATTTTTCTTTGTGGCTGGGAATCTGTATTCTTATGACTCTGACCCCTCAGGGATTCAAAGAATATTTGATCTATGACCTACAGAAGCTAAGATGTGTACCATCTGCTCTGTTTCTTGTTTCGCATTCAGCTAAATATCAGTTCAGTTGTGTGACTCAGTGTTGAATTGCCATTTTTAGCTTTCAGTTTCAGAGGATTGTGATGCTGTGTGTGGGAAGTGAAACATTTTTTCCATCATTGTTATACCCATTGACTGTGAAAGACTTGATGTTCTTTTTGTTACATAAAATATGGCACATCATTCCTACACTGATTTATAATGAATGATTTTGACACATTTTGTGGTGTTAAGTGTATGAGTGTTCATATGAGTGATGGCTCACCATACTGTGTGTGTGTGTCTGTGTGTGTGTGTGTCTGTGTGTGTGTGTGTGTCTGTGTGTGTGTGTGTTGTGTGTGTGTGTGTGTGTGTTTATTTTTTATTTTATTTTATTTTATTTTTTGTCTAATGTTTTGTAAAGTCAGGCTCTGATTGGTTCTATCCTCCACAGACAACAATGGTCTGCTCTCCAGCTCAGACAGGGGAACACCACTGCCAGGCCATCAGGAGGTAAGTGCCTCCTTCATTTTCAACTTCCTTTGTGACAAACTACTCTCATAGCTGTGAGTTTGTGCTTGTTTGTTTATTTGGTTGGTGTTCCCCATCTGTCCACGTTTTGTTTATTTAATGTTCACTCAAATCAGCCATTAATTACAAGTTATACATTTTTAACATCTGGAAAAAAGCAGAAAACATTTTTAAAAGAAAATTACACAGAAGCCTCAACAACTAAATATATATATATGTGTATAATACATATATATATATATATATATATATATATATATATATATATATAATATCCTTCCACTGTGAGAAGACAACTTACACCAGCAGCTTCTTTGGTTGATTTGCAATTTTCTTTCTTTTTGTTTATTTCTTTTTCTTATTAATGACTTCTTGACAGCTATGCATCCTTTCACATCAATAGCATTAAGTTGCCTTCTCACAGTGGAAGGATGGACAGAAACGGCTGTGTTTTTTTTTCACATCTGAAACAAGAGTGGAGCTTTATTTTTCTCCTCACTCTCAAGGATGAAAGCTTAAAGTGCTGTTTATCTGATGAAGAAAGTTTTGGTGGTCTACCAGGCCTGAAGAAGCCAGATGAAGGATTGCACACTGCTTGTACATCTTACTTGCAACATAAATGTAATATTGATGAAAAGTTTACAGTCTGCACCTCTGACACTTAGAATTTCCTTGCTTGTTTTTATTTTATTAATATTGAATTACACACATGGTTTTGTAATAACTGGTGATAATCACTGACTTCTAAAGGTTAAATAGTATTTTTTATACAGAAGTGTTTGTGCCGAGTACAGCACCAGGGCATCTTTCAAGCCATACCCCCACCTCCACCCTCCCCCAAGTTCGAAAACATTTACGATTTTTCTCATGACCCATATGTGTGACAACTTTTAGTTCAGTGCAGTGCTTTCTATAGGTTAAAGATCAGCTGCTATAGCTTCCTGTTGCTAATGGCTCCCTTGGTGGCAGGGGTGAACGGACACATTATGTAATGGTTCCTTGTTCTGTACGCTCACACCACCTTCTGTGGATTCCTATTCTTTGTCAGTTCAGTCGATTTTTGCATGTTTATGGTTGAAATTAGCCTTGTATATATGCTTGGAGAAAAATATTGGAGTATATATAAATATAAAATGCTGGTCACATTATCAGTACCGTATCATTGGCCCTGCCTGCCAAGCAGCATAACTCAGTGCTCTTTACATGCACATCTAAAAGCCATTACTCTATTATTGCCATCATCGTGATGATCTTAAGCCCTATTCAAGCTGGATTACCTTTACCTGGAGAGGTACTGTAAGTGATTACTGATGAGATCCAAGCTTTTAATCCATTACAAATCTGCAATGTCTGTAGCTTTTACAACTCTGATGCGTAGGGATTCCTACGCAGGATGACCTGTAATTCACTGGACCCAGAGGTCTATCAGTGATATTAGGGAAGGGGAGGGCGGGCACAACGCATTTTGTTTTTGCTAAATAATTTTACAAATATTTGAGAAAGATTAATATTTTTTATACAGGCAACCTGCACATCTGTGCTTTAAATTAAACATGACCTTTGTTTTCCTGCATTCCAGCATCAACTATTTGTGAACAACAGTTCAGCCAGAAGCGTTGAGTGCAAACTATGCAACTATGTATGATGCTGTGAGAATTTGGAAATTTCTCTCAAAGATGAAAAGTACTATTTATCTGATGGTGACAGTGTTTTATTTAGTATTTTTGTAGTATTTAGTATTTTCTTTGACTTTCCCCTTCTTTATCCAAGTGAATTATGTAATGTATAATCTCCCCAGAAATATCTCCTAAAAAATGTTTTTTCTCCATTGTTTTGACTCAAAATTAAATAATTAAAAGCTATTTGGAATATGCAGGGTGATTCAAAAAGATTAATCTGATTTCAGAATGATTTATTTCTCTTGTAAATCATTACAGAACAATGCAGTTAATTCTAAATGGTTTAAGTGAGCATAAAGTTTATTATGTCATTTTACAGGTGCTCAATATGAACCTCCTCCAGCTGTATGGACTATCAACGTGATAGTCTGATTCATCACATTGAGCATGTTGGGTGTCACTGTACTCACGGCTCTTTCAATGCAATTTTGGAGATCATTCAGTGTTGTGGAACCAACAATGAACGCTCTGAGCTGTTGGAGGTTCACTGCCGATGAAAATCACGTTGCACAGTTGTCACAGATTCACTCTTATTGAAGCAGAGAACGCAAAATGCTTTCTGCTCAAGGGTCACCATCTCCTCACAGACTGAAGAGAGCCATCTTCAGGTGACAGTCAGAAACTCTATGACCCCCTCTTTCAGTTGATATGTGATTGGTTCCTAGGCGCCTCGTGGTTGGAAAAATATGGCACTTTGAAACCAGATGAATCTTTTTTTAATCACTCTGTATATGGGGAACTTCACCCTACATTAGTTTGTGCTCTGCTATCCCAAATGCCTGTTAACCTCATGGTAATATAATAACAAAACCAGGTAATAAAGCTGGCCATATGCTTGTTATTGTATATTCTGTGGACCATATCGTTAATCCCAGATTGAGCCTAATCCTAGACTGAAAAGAATTTCTAACAGAAATTCACAATTGGCACTGCAACCGTGTATCTGGCAGTTTTGGGAACACTGCACAGGTATTTTATGCCATATAAATCATCAGTCAAATCCCTTTCAGATTACAATACAGAGCCTCTTCTTGTAAAACTAATCTGGCTCAATAGTGTTTTGAACAGAACAGCTTTATAAAGGACTACTAAACTGATAATAATGTGCCACACGAAGAAAGTCATGTCCACAATATTCCAGTGTGCCATGTGTAACAGAATGCCATTGAGTTAGTGTGAAGTGGTATGATTTAGAGAGCAAGTGCTTTACCCCTTCACAGACACAGGCACAAACTGTGATATCAGCCTGGCAGTACAAACCAAGGGCGTGTCGGATGAGCGGTGCTATAATGAGGGCCTTCTCTATGCTCAGTCTAATGCTAGTATATTCAGAAAGGCTAGCAATTATAGGTGTTATTCACTAGAATCTATCTAAATATCTATCTAAAATTATTGTAAAGTTATTTTTAATGAAGCTGTGTCTTCACAAAATTAGGGAACTAGTATCACAAACCTGTAGTTTTAAAGTGGCACAGCATTTTTGAAGGTTTTAAGATTATTTTTATTCTAAACTATGTTCAGCACTTTCATATATTCATGTTCTGACTACAGTAATTGTTTGCCCTGTAGAGATAGGCCTTGCTCAGAGGTTTGTTCTGAAACTGCAGCTTGTCTTTGTTGTGAGCAGATAAGTGGAGCAGAGTGATTGCCCCAGTTATTCTCATATGGTGGAGGATCTCAGGCTGGCTTGTGATAAGGGCTTGATAGTTCATGAACATACTTGTGTACTTTTGCAATAAATCTAGTCTTAAATGGCCCTTGTCTTACATTTTTCTTGCATCTAACCTACTTATAATGTTTGGTTTTATGTGCCAAATACTCATAATTCATTCTTACATGACAAATTTTCACCCTCACTTTATCCCTTAGAATTAAACAGGCTGTTTTTGTTACTCTGCCTTTAAGACTAATGTATGTAAATTGTCTCCATTCTGATTGGCTGCCATGTTTTGTGCCTCATTCAAAAATCTGTACATGCTGAAGCACGTCTTATAACTTTAACAAGTTTTTTTTCAGAAAAATAAAAAAATGTGTTAATTTACTTTCACTTAGAAAATCGGCTGGGGTGTTGAAATTTTTTGCGTATGACTATTGGTGATAGATTTTTCTGACACAAAATTTTTTCCCAAAGACTTTTCAGTATCCTCAGTTCATTTTGATTTCTGAAGTACTGTTCGTGTGATGAGCTGTGTGAGTGAGTCATGTATGGCAGGACTATGCTTGGCACGTTTTTCCTCTGAATTGCTGGTTGAAGCTGGATGAAGATAAAAATAACTGCTGTGGTTAGAGAATGCAGCTGGCTGTCTGTTTGACATTACTTCTCAGAGGTCAAACCCTGGGATTTCTAACTTACAGGAATTAAACCTAAAAGAAATTCATGTGGCATTTAAGTACACCTTCTTGGTTCTTTGTGAAACAGAATTTTACAGAAGTGACATAAGGCCAAGAAACACTGGTTCAGAGCTAGGAGAGAAATGCTGAAGGCTCTAACGGCTCATTGCTCTTACAGAGGACTTATTCAGGGGGAGTAAACTAGCTGAACTCTTATCTGCAGTGTGTGAGTGAGGCCAGCTTTCAGTTCGAGTCCTGCTAACACAGCACGCAGCATGAATGCCCTGGATCTTCTCTGTTTAACTGGTCAGCTTAGGAGTGTTTATGAGCGACATGCCAGCTCACACTGAGGTATGGAAGCAGAATTCATGTTTAGGCTGTAAGTGAGAACTGTAAATGCAGACTTTATGTGCATTTTGACTAGAATATTTATGGTATAAATAATAAGTATGTTCGTGAATTACATGTGAATTACAATGTGCTGTTTAACATTTCTTAATGTCATGTTAAATTGCATAGTAAATATTAGAATGTGTAGCTTTTTATTTTTTTTTTATTATAATGACTTGTATGTGTGTATGTTGTATTATTATCGTTGTTGTTGTTGTTGTTGTAGCATTAGGCAGATGGCGCTTTTCCAATATAATACACCAGACTACGATTAAAAACTGTACAATTTTGTAACCAAAATACATTCATCCTCTGTACAGTGAAGTTTCCTAAAAAAATAAAACTTTCTGGATTGTTCTAAAACATGTATACAGTTGTATGCAAAAGTTTGGGTGCCCCAGGTCATATGACGTTTTGTTGATTTTCTAAGTGAAAACAAGTTAACACATCCTCTACAGAGAACACACTTCTGCACATTTAACCCAACAAATCTTGTATTTTATGTTTTATTTTTGTTCCAATATGTTAAACTCGGCAAATAAACAGAATAATAAAATTTGCAGAGAAAATGCCTTATTTAAA